CAACTCTTTTTTTTTTCCTCTTTTTTGGGATGTCTAGATATTCCAATTATCACAATTAGGGTTGCACAAAGTTGTTAGCCATCACAATGCCAAGTTCACCAAAACCCACTACAAATCACCACACCAATAAAAAAACCCCAAATGGAAAACTTAAGTTTAGTAAACTTCACCAAGAATTCAACACAAACAAATCACAAGCTTTGATACCATTTTTATTGGGAAGAAAATCCTAAAAGATATTTTCATAAACACTTGGCATTTATTCTCCATAAAGCTTCTTAAAATATATTAACCCAAATTTCAATGAACCACCAAAATCATAACTTTTAACCTCAATCATTCATAAATTTTAAGCACAAGTTTCACACAAAAAATTATCTCTAATCAAACAAGGTCAAAATTCAAAATAACCATATAACCAACTATCAAGCACAACTAACTTTCAAGTTTGTAAATAACAAACAAAATAACATTTCTTCACTTCAAAATGCATAAAAAATATTCATTTTAGTAGAGTAAGAAAAAACTTACACCAAAGTTTGCATTTTTTTCACAAGGCACATTTTCTTCCTTTTTCATGTTACTACCCTAGCCTTCTCTCTTTCTCTACACTATTTTTAGCCCCTATATTCATAGCCTTTGTATATCTTTTTACTTCATTTATATTATAACGTGCCTAACTATAGAACAGACAAAGATCCAACTTAAAATATAAAATAAATCGGATACTAAAAAAATAATAAACAAGTAACTAACCCAATATAATTGAGTTTACAATCCAACAAGAATAAACACGAATTGAAGACCACAACGGTGAAGTAAATGGGTTTTGTAAATAAGGTCTTGATTTAGTGATAAAAAATTTTAGAATTTTAAGATTTTAGATTTAAATTTTATTATGTGTAGGTTTGACTTTGTTTATTATTTGATTATTTAATGATATATTATATATGAATATAATAATTAATTATTATTATAAATTTTCTTGTATTTATAATTTCATAAAAAAAAATTTAGGGGTTTTAAACTTTAAACTATTTGTTTTTTATTTTTTAAATGCCTAGTACATAGATGGAATAAAATTTGTAGCTGTCCAGTCCTGATTCCTAAATTCTACTATAAGACATCCTAAATTTCTAAACAATTTTTTATTTAATTGTTTTATGAATTTTTAGGAACATCTTTTAGTTTGGAAATCTTATCGATTTAAATTTTAAAATTAAATTGATTTTATTTATCTCATGCATTCAGTTGTATTTATCTTAATTAAATATAAAGTAATAGTATCATATTTAGGGTGGATCAATTTTTATTTTGTACCTGTTTCAAGAACCAAATCGATTAGCGATTTTGGTAGCTTTGATGCCAATTGGACATGAAATATTAAAGTCAGTCAACTGTGTTGGATGATATTTTTTTTCTTTAATATAAAAGAGGTTAAAGCCTAAGAAAAATTAGAAAAGAAAATTTTGAAGTGCTAATGATTAAATTTTAGTTTTATAGAAATTCACCTCCTAAGGAGGTTAGTGTTAGGCTAAAGTTCATGTTTATCACATGATATTCTTTCATCAACATTTATACTGAATAAAAATTATTGCACTAAAATAAGGGTTCCCGTAATAATATTCAAATAAGCTTCGAATTTACCATAAACTGAAAATAACCTTTTCCATATTTTATTGAAATAACATTTCATTAAGTATTTAGTATTTATTCAAACAAATCTATCTATATAAATATTTTAAATAAATCACATCAACCAATAAAAAAAGTTTTAATGAAATATAAAATATTTTTTAATGTAAAAATTGTCATTATAATAAAATAAAAACTCATAATTTTAATTTCATATAATAAAATATTAAATTTTTATTTTTATTTTTCAATGAAATTCGATGATTTTTTTTAATATTAACCATAAAAATATATTTGAAAATGATAAAAGAATAGACTTTTTTTTAAAAAAAAAATTGTCAGGTAATATAGGAGTTGAATTAGTATTTAATTTAAACCCAAAGAGTATAATTCCGCTTTTTCAAGGTTTCTTTCATTCCTTTTTGTTGGTTATCGAGGCCGGGGACCTTTTCTGGTTGGGGATGCTTAACCATAATTTTCCGATAGCTAGCTCACATTATAAAGCCATACATCAAATGTGATGATAGGTCCATGCTGTTCCTCCAAACAATGCCCAGTTGGAAATCATAAACGAGAAGATATTTTTGATGAAACACCATAAAGACAAAAGCCGCCGTATATAAACTTTCTTTCCCATCACATCATGCATCACTAGCTTTATAAGTAATAATGGTAGGAAAATTTAATGAAACATAAAATTAACTAATAATAATAACAAGGATTAAGAGTAAAAGGTCTTCATTCGTTGCATATATAATACAAGTCTGAAGGGGCATAGTTTGATGATAGTGCAAAGTTAGCAGATTTATTTAGTGTGGAGAGTTATTGTCACACAAGTTATCAAAATGTTTAGATTGGAATGGAAAACGGTTCATCCCCTAATGGAAAAGACTCAAGTCCAGATGAATCTAAAGTCATGGGGGTAGCTGTGAATGGAGGGGGGCGGGGTGAGTTATATTTAAACCAAAGATATGTGGACTTTGAGGAGGAAGCTAGCACAAGGGAAAGGGACTTCTAGGGCATAAACTTCTAGGGTTTTATGCTCTCATTATCACCCATTTCAAAATGGTACACATTTGATTGTACATCTTTTTAACTTTTTTTGTCATAGTTATCGCATCTTTGAATGCAACCTAGGAACAACCAAACTCATCTCTCCCATGTATGTGGTCCTCCTAATGCTGCCAGCCTCGCTCAATCAGGGAGCTAGAAAAAGAAATAAAGAGAGTAATGAGTTTATCCAAGTGGAAACAACGTACGGCAGGATAATGGAAAGAAAAATGTGACAAAGGGAGTGCCAAAAGAAAGGGGTACGCAGACTGAGAGAGATTAAGGAGAAGTTTTCACTTTTCATTAATAGTGGACAAGACTATTTCTATAGTACGAGACCGATTTTGTAGTTATGGCAATTTCTCATTGGCTAGGGTTTTCAGGAAAGGGTCTTGTCGGCAGCAAGCAATGATAGTACAAGCACAAGCAACTCTTTCTTGACTAAAGTAATTTCACGGTCTTTATTTCAATATATAATAATATATATTGACTGATGCATATCTGAAACGAAAGCAAAACAGATAAGAACGCATGGAAGAGGGAGACTAACAACATTCTCACCTAGACTTGATGAGGAGAAAGTTAAGGAAAGAGAGAGAGAGAGAGAGAGAAAAATGGGGTCTTCGTCCTTTTTGTGGAAAGCGACCTTGCTCAGAGATTGCCAGTCAAAGGAGCACTGCCCTTTCATGGCATGCCTAGCAGTTTTTCTTTCTTTTTTTTTTTTTTCGGGTGAAATAATTATCGTTATTTTCCAAAGATTACCTCTTACGACCATGAACCACGTGTTCATATATAAATATATATATTTTTTCTAATATTATATATACCAATTTTTTTATTATATTTAATAATAATAACGATTCGATCGAATTTAATTTAATTTTTTATAATATATAATATTATAATTTTTAATTTTGATTTAAATATAAATATTTTTTTAAAATTAGTTTAATTAAAATTAAATTTTATTGATTTAATTAATTATTTTTAAAAAATAAATTTACATATAAAATAATTATTTTTATTTTATAAAAATTTTAAAATATATAAAAATTAATTAAAATAATAAAAATATCAAATTAGATTAAATTTGAATTTTTTTATTTTTTATCTTAATTTAAAATTTTATTTAAATTTAATATATACATCAAATATTCAATTTTAATTGAAATCAAATAAAAAAAATTATTTCAAACTAAATGAAAATTACAATTTAAAATTGATTTTTGATTTTTCTTAATTTTTTTTCGCCCCTAGTTGTGCTGTGAATCTTGCTACAATAAGTTGCAGCAAAAGCAAAGTGAGGATTGAACCAATACTTTAAGCCACAACAACAAAATTTACTCAATGGCTTGTGAAATATTCTTATTGATGGAGACCGTACAAATGCAAGTTCCACTTTTTAGCTAGCCAAGTTAGTTTGAGTAAAAAAACAAAAAAAAAAGAGGGAACATAAATGAGTTCTGTCAATCTCCCACCTGATGCCATGTGAAGTGGCACAATACTAAGTGTTAACTGTTTACTATCCAGTTACTTCCCATGATACCGCTGCCTGTTATTCCCTCTTACTTCCATTTTATCATGGGTCCAAACAGTAAGCAAACACTCTCTCTAACAAGTAATAATAATAAAATTAAGAAAAAGATGGTTCTTTTGTCTGCCATAAATTCCCCTCTTTGGGGTTCTTTAGCACCTCACAATTGTTATTCAATTCCCTCTCTCTCTTCTTACAGAGACAGAAAAAAGAATCCCTCTCTCTCTCTCTTGCTACAGATCAGACGGCCCTCATAGACGTTGAGTACATCAGCTCTGCTGTCTTTCTCAAGCTGTAGCCGTCCTTGATTGGGAAGGGTAAATAGACAAACTCCCTTTCGCCCTTTCTAAGACAAAAACTGAGATTGGATGCCTTTTTAAATGCAAGCTAGCTAGCTCTAAGAAAGAAAAAAAAAAAAGAAAGTAAAACAAAAATGGGTTGGTTTAATTTCTAACAAATATTGAGTTTTTGCCTGCAGAAAAGGAACTGATCAGAAACATGGAAGTGGCGGACTTATTTTCAACGGAATTACGCCTTAGACTTTAGAGATAAATGATGCAAGTGTCATTCTCAAGTTCCTAGTCCCACCATCTAGCTCCTGATGCTAGGTTTGTTCAGTGCAATTGCAAAGCTCTCAAATGTTTCCTTCAAACAGCAATGGAAACAATGACCCAATCGCTCATTTTGACCATTCAATTTTCCACAGGCAATTTTCTACTGACATCACCCCATATTCCAAACAGGAAGACCTCCCTCTTTCCGTTTATCATTTCCCCTCTCCCTATTATAATCAATGTGAGTTAGAACTCGAAGACCATGATGTTTTCCTCCACCAACGCCATGATCTCTTACTTCATCAGCAAACCTTGATGTCGAATAATTCAGTTTCGGAGACTATCATTAACATGCCTGTATCCAGCAAAAACGAGGAGTCAACCATAGACTGCACCAAAAAAAGCCATAATGCCACCGATCAGCAGATACCGCGAAAGAGATCATCTTCCAAGAGAGATCGGCACAGCAAGATTAATACAGCTAACGGACCAAGAGATCGGAGAGTGAGACTGTCTCTTGATGTTGCTCGAGATTTCTTTGGTCTGCAAGACATGCTGGGCTATAATAAGGCCAGCAGAACTGTTGAATGGCTACTCATACGGGCAAAGCCGGAAATCAATAACCTAGCTAGAAGCCAGCTTTCCCAGATGAATAACAGCTGCAGCGTTGCAGCTGCAAAGAGTCCATCTTCAACTTCTGAGGCTGAGGTGGCATCTGAAATTGACAAGGCTGCTATACAAGGAAGCATATCTAATGGGAAACCTTCCTCAAAAGAGAAAAAGGTTAGACAGCCACGAAAAACCACTTTCCGCCCTCTTGCAAGGGATTTGAGAGAAAAGGCCAGGGCAAGGGCAAAGGCAAGGACAAAAGAAAAGATCATGTGCACTCGAAGGCTTGATGAATCAAAGTTATGTGATGATACCAGAAACAATGATCTGAATAAATTCAGTTCTTGGAGTTCCTTTGAGACTGGTGAAAAATCTGGTATTCCAGATCACAACAGGAACAACCCTTCTTTGGCGGCCGCGGTACCTGAGGTTAAAGAGCTTAGCTCTCGTGACGGTGAGCACATAAGGATTCGTGAGGATATGGTTGATGAATCTGTGGCAATTATGAATAAGTGGAACCCGAATTCGATTTTCAATTGTCTGCAAAACTCTGGAATTAACCAAGAGGTAAGTTACCTTGCAAAGTTTCTTAATTTATAGCCAAAAATGTTGCTATTTGGTAATTCTAGACTCAAGCCTTAATTAAAACTATGATAAATATATCAACAATATGTGTCCAAGATGAAGTAGCTGAATCAAAATTCTGACCAATCCATATATTTGTTTGCAGCATCAGCTCACAGGGTTTTTGTCCTTTGGCAAACCATTGGATGCCTACAACAACAGAAATCTGTGATAACGTGGTTTTTCTCTTACTTCTTCAGTTCTTTAATGTGTCCTGTGGATAAATATTAGAGGCATGCTATGTTTACTTTCTTAATTTCTGTATGGAATGCAATATGGACGTGCTTTTTCTCTCTTTTTTTTTTTAAATCTATTTGGAATTTTCTTGTGGACTATCTATTGTCAATGATTGTTGTGTGTAATTATCAGTAGATATGATGTTATGCTTTCCTTGTTTCTGTTCTAGGTATTTAAATATAGTATCTTAGATTCATTGTAACGTCAATTAAAACAATAAAGTCAACAGCTTAAAGGGTTGATAACAATTATAAATTTAATCATTTTCTGATAGCTAATCTGCTTTGTGCCCCTATAAATTAACATGCGAGAAGAAGGCTGCAATATCAATTTATGTTTCTCATCATCCCCCTGTATATATGTGAAAATAATTGCCTTCTAGTTTCTATATCTGGATTCTAGTTAATATGTTTCCATGCTATTTTTCCTTTTCAGCCAATTTATGTAAAGCTTTCTCTGTCTCCTAAGAGTTGTTTATTGCCTTCTGTTTATTTTGCTCTCTCCAGTAGGCTGCTGCATCCCAACAAAAGAATTCAGCTTAACTTTTAGGAGATGATTGAGTAGATGCATGGATGACCCACTCTCCCTTGTTAACTAATGCTTTTCCACTATCAAGTAATTTTTTTCAAAGTTTACACATACCTAAGAGGATATATATTTTTTGGTACAAAGGAGGCTACAATCTGAAGTAGAGGAGGCTATTGCAGGTGTTAAATTTTGAATCTCAAACTTATTGAATGCCATATCTTAAAAATGACTGTCTAAATCAACTTGGATATATTTCAACATATCGATCATGTTCTCGTAGCTTTTGATGCTACTATATATACGTTAGATAAACTGCACAAGCAAGATAGAAATTATAGGGATTGTAGGTAAGCATATATAATAGAATAAAATATACATATTTCATATCTTGGAGTGGATATGATGGCTTAAGATAATTGGAGCCACTCAATGTTCATAAAATTAAGTAAAAGAATTGCGTAACATCAATTCATGCTTTGAAATAATAGAAACTGAAATGATTTGAAGACTTCACAATTTAGAGTTTGAACTTCTATGGACATTCTTTTCTGCTTAGAAGGTAACATAAAAGATATGTACTTTGGATTCTACTGGAGTAAACACTTACAAGTTTCTGTACATATTAGGTGAAATTGTTTACCTTATAGAAGAATTATGAAATTTTTTCTTGTCATAATTTCCCTAGCAGTTGTAGCTAATTGGTTAGGTTTATGGCTTGCCTTGTTATGATCTGCATCATAAACATTCAAACATGCTAAACTTTCTGAATTCCTTGCATCGATTTATTTCTCAAAAAGCATGCAAGAGAAACACTTTTAATTACATAAATTTAGCTAATATGTAGCTATAAGTTCATATTTTCTTGCCCGTTTTGATTAGAAGCCTAGAAGCATGCTTTAATATTATTGTGTCAGATATTTGTGATATGGCAGTATTGCTTGATTGCTGGCATAATCCTCATTATTAGGAAAGCAATGCATCAAAATTTCTAATTGAAGAATGAAAAATATAAACAGCTGATGAAGCCTTTAACTAAGATTGTAAGTGTCAGTTATTCACTATATTTTGAACTGCATATTCACTTTGAATTAGTCTATTACTATCAACTTGCATCCTCTATAAATTTTAAAAATTAATTAACTCTTGAAAGAAAGAAATAACACAGGAGACAGTAATAGTTCACAGGATATCTTAACAAGCTGATGAGTTCATGAATAAAGGTGACAGTTATAGAGATTAAGTAGATAGAGAAAGCTTGCTTTTGCATTTCTGTTATTTACTCTTTTGGGTTCATGGCAAATCTGGTAGGTTAGCTATAATTTTTTGTTTTTCGGGTTACGATTGAGGTATGGACTTAAGATCTCCAATCTGAAGCCGACTCTAGTACTATTAAGCTAACAGCTCCTTGGTAATGCTATTGAATTTAAATAGTGAAAGATTTAACTCACTGTTACTTTGTAGAAGAAATTTGTCTATTAGCAAAACCAAATTATAGATTGACAGCCAATGTCTCAGTTTCTGAATTAGCAAAAACCTTGCGATGGAGCCCTATTTATAATATGATGAAACATTTTGTGAGGAATAGATAGCATTTATATTTCTACAGTTTACTCGGACCTTCTATATTATGCGATTAGCCTAGGCTAAAAGCTTTGCTAAGGAATTGGCATTTTAATTTAAGGCTGAATTTAATATTGATTTTCTACTATTTGTAGTTTAGCACAAGTTTATGCCTCTATTGGAATGTTCAGAAAAGTGAATGAACAAAAAACAGACAAGAAAACTTTCCTACAATACAAACGATATGAAAAGCAATACAATGTTTTAGGCATTTCAAGGCCTACAACTTCAAGCGATAAGAAAAACAATACAATGTTGGGCATTTCATGGCCTACATTTTATGGTTTTCTGTAGTTTCCTAACTGACACGTCACCGGAAATGTAATAACTATTAATGAATGTTGGAGAAACCTATTGGAAGCATACATCATAACCGAAGAACTTCGGTTAAATGACTAAGATCAACAATTTGATGGGAAGTTAAATCCATGTTCTTCACACAACTCATCAGAAAAGCTTAATATATAGTTCCCAAAATAATTGCCCACAGAAGGACTAGTTTATTTAGGCTTTTAATGAAATATTGACGGATAGATGAATTTGTAACATATTCAAAGATCGTGGATAAAAATTTATTTTTTTAATCATGGATGAAAAAAGTTTATTACCCAAATATTAAAGACTAATTTACTCTTAAAAATCTATTTAAGGAAAAAAAAAGTTCAACGTTTCCTACATCAAATTTATCTACTATTTATATAAATTCACTGGATGAAGGCGAAGAAATTACGGAAAGATAATCATCCTACTGAATAAGGTGAAGTATATAGGCTATATTATTAAAAAAAAATTCAATTAAAAGTTATCAGTTATGAGTAGAAATCAAATTCAATAATATCAAACTTCCAATTAATTGCTCTACGTTATCATATAAGCTGAATGCTTATAGTTTCCAAAAAATGTATTTATTTTCAACAACTTTTAGAAAAAATTAAGGAAGCCGACCTCTATCCGGTACTGATAGGCCATACATGTAAGATTGAGGTCTTCCAGTCATGATGGCAAAACAAAAATCAAGCGGAAGTTGATCCCACCATCTTCAATATGTAGTTGCACTATACATGTATCAGCTGGGAAGATTTTAAAATAAATAAAAAAGATCTTCAACAGGTTCGCACTTGCAGTCGAATTTGGTGAATATTTTAGTAATATGAATTCTGAGGCATAGAGACCGAACCTTTTTGGTTCCAAGAGAAAAGGCCATTATTTTTAGTGTAACCATGTGCAAAATATGCTTCATAGGTTTTAAGTTTGAAGTGTAGCAACGGGTGTTCCAAAGATGAAAAGACATCATACTGAAGGTTACTTTTCTCTAAGTCATATTTTATAAGAGTTTTTATTTCAGATATTAATTCATATGCATACGTTTCATTGTAAGGAGAAAAGGGTAACAAGTTATATATATAAATAAATATATATATAGATATATATAAGATGTGTGTTTTAGTATTTCTATTTTCTTGTGATAGATGATGTCACGTTACGGTTTCAAGCATATTTCTTAGAACTGACATCTCCGAGCCATTGTTACCATACATTGAATAGCGAAAATTTTGGTGAAAATCCTAAATTTGAATCTTATAATTCCTTCATTTATCAAGAAAAAAAATGTATATTCCTAAATTTAAATCGTATAATTCCCTCAGTTATCAAGAAAAGAAAACGTTTAGTGATTTTCATAGAGATACGCATTGATTGTTGATAGCATTCCTTCTTCTCCCTTTGTTAAATCAGTATATAAATAGGTGTATGTGAATCACATTAGTTCTATGCTTTTCCAAATAAAAGAGGGTGGAATGGAAGTACGTAAGAGGAAAAAAAAAAAAGACCCTTCTTAGAAAAGCTCCTGGTTAAACAAGTTTTATTTCGGTATTAATTTTGTATGTTCAATTATTAATAATTTTCGTTAACACCTACTTGTTTTTTATATCAAAGATTGAATAATTTAAATTTTATTTTTTGACGTAAGAAATATAAAATTTATTATTGTATCAATGTTCAAATGGCACATTAACACTTAATTGTTAATACAAAATAAAATTTATATGATAAGTTATTATATTAAATTACATCAAAGAAAAATATCATCAATTTTTCCATCAAAGGAAAAAATATTTGGAAACGTTCTGAATTGATGGCATAAGCTCAAGTGACCCTCTAGTTGGTTAATACTGTTGATTATAGGAAGAATTTCCAAAAATAACATCTCAGCACATACTAAGCTACTAGCCTTTCATAATTCATTAAGTAACAAACATACCCTACCTCTCTTCATTAAAATTTTACCGCTTAAATAAAAGAAAAAGAAATTATACAAAGCCAACAATGTCAACACAATGTGAGAATTAATTTAGTGCATAGCCTTTATACTAGCCATCCCCTTTATATGTTTGAAAGGAATTGCATTTTTAGCATCTTAAAAAAAAAGGGACAAAAAAATAAAATGTTATTTTCAATCAATTACATAAAGAATACGATAACTGATATTGGATAATAAATAAATTTTAAAAAAAACAAAGAAGAAACTTAATAATTAAAAAAGGACAAATACGATTCTATTACAAGATTTTTAGGAGATTAATTTGTCAAATATCGTCCATAATAATTAATTATTGATTTGCTTAAATATGATTGAAAACTTTAAATTAAATTGTACCGACGGTTGATGGTTTGGTCCTGTCTAGAGGGTAAGCTGGTTTCCCGACGAAAGTTACAGTTCGCGAAATGGGAAATGTATGGGACGAACTCTAGTTGACTATTGAGATGGGCTAAATAACAAATGGGAGGAATATATTTTGCCCTTGATAACAGCAAAGTCACTAGGCATTTGTATAAGAAATCAAAGAAAAAAATGGGATTTCCTGCAAATACAAAGAGACCTTATAAAATTTGTCCACTTTAATTCCTACAAAGCTGAAAATTAATATTCCAGGTTTAAATTTGGATTTCTTTTTTCTTATTTTATTATCTCAGCATTTGAAACTTGATTAATTTATATCCAGAAAAGCAAATGTCTGTTAGTGATTATATTTATATCCAGACCTACATAAAATGGCTAGAAAGCTTCCATAGAGTAAAGCCTAATCAAAATGTTCTGCGTGCTTGGCTATATATGCCCTACAGGCTATAGCAGAGAAAGTGGAAAAAACCTCCATTTAGATCCAAAGGCCAAGGGGCTGCTGTACAGAATTAAGTACAAACTTCAGTGTTAATAGTGTTTTGCTTTTTCCCAATGATTTCTTCAATGAAGAAAAAGAATAAAATGGTTGGACTCAGAGAACTGGATCTACCCATGTGAAGTAACTGAGAGAAGAATACAACACTATCTGACACTGCCCCCATCCAAAAAAGTAAAATGAACAGAAAGAGTTGATTGAAAGATGACAAATTTTATACAGTTCTTGACTCTAAAAGTCTTTCATGTTCATTCGTTTTCATTTCTTCCATCTCTTTTAAGCAAAGCAGTTAAAATTTGTCCTCAAATTCATCATTCCCATTTTTTGGACCATTCACATCTCTCTCTCTCTCTCTCTCTCTCTATAATGGCTCTATTATTCAAAGGGAGACAAAAATAGGT